TTTTTCTTCAAATAACCCAGATTCTTGGATTATATGCTCATCATACAGGTTTAATAAGAATGGTGAAAGAATATAACCCTGTTGCACACCATTCCTAATTTTAAACCATTCAGTATTCCCATGTTCTGTTTGAACAACTGCCTCTTGGGCCATGTACAGGTTCCTCAGGAGGACAATTAAGTAAGTGTTCTGGAATACTCATACTTCACAGTGTTGTCCATAGTTTGTCATCATCCACACAATTGAAGGCCTCTGCATAGTCAACAAAGCACAGGTAAACATCTTTCTGATATTCTCTGCTTTCAGCCAAGATGCATATGACGTCAGCAATGACATCCCTTGTTTCTCATCCTCTTCTGAATCTAGCTTGAACCTCTGGAAGTTCTCTGTCAATGTATACTTGCAGCCATTTCTGTATTACCTTTAGTAAAACTCTACTTGCATGGGATATCAAAGATATTGTCTGATGATTTCCACATTCTGTCGGGTCACCTCTCTTTGGAATAAGCACAAATATGGATCTCTTCCAATCAGTTAGCCAGACAGTTGTCTTCCAAATTTTTGACTTTGATGAGTGAGTGCCTCCAATGCCACCTCACTTTGATGAAAGATTTCAGTCTGTATTCCATCAATTCCTGGAGTCTTGTTCTTTGCCAATTCCTTCAATATACTGTTACTTCTTCCTTCAGCATCATTGGCTCTTTTTTTGTCAAACCATGTAATTAATTTATTTTCTCTAACTATATAGGGATGTCTCCATCTTCATTACAGAAAACTCAGCAAAGGCAAATGAGCAAAAAGAGCCACTAGTACCTCCTTATAGAAGAGAGCTACCACTAACAATCCTCCATATCCTCTTTCATGTTTATACATTAAAAGCAATGAAAACAAGAAAGTAGTCCTAATGTGGTGTTGCAGGATAATACACTGAAACACAAGACCAGTTTGATACTCAAGGTTGGTGGATCAAATCTACCAGCTGTTCCTCAGAAAACTTAGACGTAGTGGCTATGAGTCGGAACCAAATTGGTGGCACCCAACAACAACAACACGTGTTGTAAAGTTCCATCTAGTCCAATTCAACTCATAACAACCCTGTATAGGGTTTCCAAAGAGTGGCTGGTATGTCCAAACCGATAACCTTATACAGTTGTGACAATCATCATTCAATCTGATAATGACTACTTGCAATTGAATCATAAAATCCTATCTCCCTCATCACCAGACCCATCTGAACAAGAGGAAAACTATTCAGTAGGATTTTTGTCTTACTCTCCTCATTCTGACACTAAGCATCTTCAGGAAAGTTTATAAGCCAGCCACTTTGTGCCTTTACAGTTTCCTAATTTTGATAGTCAAAGTCTAAGTTGCCTGTCTCTATCAACCCAGTCTCCATCCTGGTTTACAAGGAGCGTTTTAGCTGTACTTCTTCCAACACAGATTTATTGTTCATCTGGCAATCCATGGTACTATCAATTTCTTCTCCAGCACCATAACTCAAATGCATCCATCCGTGGTCTTCCTTATTCGCTGTCCAACTTTCACATGCATATGAGACAATTGAAAACACCATGGCTTGAGTCAGGCACCTCATTGGCTCTTTATCATATGCTACCTCTTGAAATGCTTGAACATCAACCATTTCTTTTTTGGTACAGTGACTCTGTATATTCCTCCCATCTTCTTTTTATGCTTTCTGCATCATTTAATAATTTATGCAGAGAATCTTTCAATAACTAAAATTGAGGTTTGAATTTTTTCTTCAGTTCCCTCAGCTTGTTCTTCCCTTTTAGTTTTCTAACTCCAAATCTTTGCATATTTCAT